AAGTAAGTGACCTTGAAAACTATCTCAGTGGCAAATGCAATTCCCACCAGGCCAAGCCTTACTCCAGAAGCAGGAACTGTCTGATAAGCGTGGCTTGTGAGATGTTATTAGAAGGAACTGCCAAGTGCCTCAGAGTGTAAGGTATAAACGTACTTGCATTAAGACTTTTCTGTTAAAATGCAACACCCCTTCCCAAGAGCTAGAATATTAGGTACTTCTCAGAGGTTAGCACAGCTTCAGTTAACTTATCAACTATTTTCTATCTGATGCATTTCTTCTGTAATATCTGTGTAAATTGTGAGTTAAATAAAGGTAAAGTTCCAGGAGAGGGTACAGTCCTACAAGTCTGAAGTAAGAGATGGGGAGCAGGCCATACAGAACAGTGGGTACGTGTAAAGCCTGTTGGAATGAAGATGCCTGGATCTAGTTCTGCTACCTGCTAGGTGGCTGGCTCCCTTTTGGCTATCACCTTTGTGCCTCCATTTGTTCAATTAGATAGAAAATGGTTTAACAAGAGGATCTCTGTGGGGCATTGGAGAGTTAAATGAATCCATTCAAAACGGGCATTCAAAGTTGTGCCAGATATAGAGTGAACTTTATATAAATGTTCGTCTATATCATTATTAGGCGGGGATGGCATGACATTTAGCCTGGAAAGAGACTGCTCCAGTTTTACTATCTGCTGTCTCCTTTTCCAATTTACTGATGAAGGATAAAAGATCTAGGAAGTATGAGCAGCTTACCCCGAAGGTTGCAGGCTTGTGGACGGCAGAACCAGGGTTTCCTTTCCAGGGGTCCTCCCGCCACCATGGAACTTACTGAAGGGCAGAAGAGTCATGGTTTGTGGCCTACTGAGAGGAACCTAGAGCAAACGCTAGCATCTCTCCCTTCTAGGGATAATTCTTCCCAGAGTCAATTCCATGTCCCATCTCGGGTGGGCTCGATGTCTGAGCAAACGCCACCCTCTGACACACACAACCTCACCCCAGCTCCTGGGCGTACCCTTTAAGTCTGGTACAGCCCAGCAACTCGTTGTCCCGCTGGGAGCACGAGTCAACAGTGGGATGGATGGGAAAAGTGACACAATCGGGCAGCGGCCCCCTCCGGGCCAGCCTCCCACGCAGCGCATGGCTGGCCTCGGCGGCACAGGGCTACGGGCTGGGGCTGCGCAGCGGCGGTCTCCCCGCGCCCGCGAGCCGGCGAGCCAGCAAACCCGCAAAGCCCGGGGCCGGCGGTGCGAGGCCCGGTGAGGGCACTTTTCAGCAGCGCGGCTGGCGCACCGCTGCCCGACCAGCTCCTAGGGCCGCCGCCGCCGCCGCCCCCCGGAGCTGGATGACGGAGTCTTAAAAGACTTTCACCAAATATGGGCTGGGGCTGGAAACGTCCTGCGTCCGCCCCGCCGGAAACCTCCAGTCCTGTCAGCGGCCGCGGCTTGGGGAGCGCGGGCCGGCAGCCGGCAGGGGGCGGCGGGCAGCCAGTGGCCGGCGCGCCCTGGTACTTCGACCCCGGGCCCTCCCGCCGCGCGGCCCCTTGCACTGTCTCCGCAGGGATCCCGGGGCAGCCGAGGTCCTCCTGGCACGTCTGCCACCCAGTTCCCGCCGCCATCCCGGCTCCCACTAGTTCTCCCCGCGATCACTCCACGAGGTGAGGGTCGGGGACTGGAGGGCGGTGGACAAAAACAGCATGGCGCGTGGGCGCCACCTTAAAGCTGGCCTTCCGCAGTCACTAAATTGTTCTGTTCATTAAGTGGCTATAAAAAGTGGAGTGAGACTGGGTGTGCAGGCAAGTACCTAGCTATGAGCACACACAAACACACAGCTATTACAGGCAATCCTGTCGTCCAAGGCAGTAGTGCTCGGGGGGTGATTCCCCGGTCCAGCAGCACAGCACCACCTGTGGACTTTGTAACATGCAGCTAGTAAGCAATTCGGGGAGAGGGGCGGGGGATTAGCAGTCAGTCATTTAACCAGCCCTCAGGTTTGGTGTCTTAGGTAATTCTGAGAACACGCTTAAGTTTGGGAACCACTGGTCTAGGACTAGGAAACCGAAGTCACCAGGTTTAGGGTGATTTTTATTCTCAGTTGTCGCCAGGAGTGAACCCGTCTTTTGGTGGCTCCAAATTGCCTGGCAGCAGTGTTGAGAGATGTCCCCGTCGTTCAGTACAAAGCCAGGAGCTGCAGAAGACAAGCAGCCCCTTCTCTGTGCTTTCCAGCCCAAGGAAACTAGACGGCTTGGGATCGCGTCGTGGGGCACCCGCACAGGGAGGGAGCGAGGAAGAAGAGCCAAAGAACCATGCAGAATTAGCACCCGAAGACACTTACCCACAGACATCTGCACATTTCCCCGTCAATCTGTCAACGTGAACTGATCTGCCGCTCTCAGCAGAGAAGGCGAGAAGGCGACGGGACGTCTGAGGTTCCTGGACCGTCCTTGAGCAGGACACGACAGGCTGCGGTTCCTCGCCTAATGCTGTCGTTTACTAGCAGGAGAACCAGGATATAGTATTTGGAAAGGCTGTGCACATAGGTTACACCAGCCTCTCCTGATCCCTCACCGCCTCGAACTCCCCTTCCCCTCCTTTAATTGGGCAGCTGACAGTAAGGTTCTCTTAGTTTCTCCTCTGGGGCAAACTCATCCTCCAAGAGTCCCCGCTTGAAGTCCAGAAAACAATTCACACACCCTTGTTAAAAAAAACTTTCATCTGATTTTTAAAGGAATCTCTGGAATGGTGTGTGTTTGAACGCTGTGCAGCAGACTGAATCTCTTTGCGGGAACGCCGCCCACCACCCCACCCCCTGCCCCACACACATTCACATACATACTCACACTTCAACAAAGGAACAAGGTATATACACAGGCCAGTTAGATCATCCACTGTAATTTTATTTTAAATCATGATAGATTGCGTGAAAAACAAGGAATTCCAAAGAATTTCCTGCTCTGGGAACAGAAGTTAAGTCTATATTTAACAACATTTGAAGCTGTTAAGAATGCTTTGTGGTTGGATAACAGAGGCAGAAAAATGTTAAAAACGCAGGCTACTGCTATACCCAAATATGGAAATATTGTTACGTCTGGTGTCTGATTCACCATCTGGAAATACTTACAACCATGAAGTCAAATAGAAAAGACGCCACAACAGAAGCCAGGAACGCTCCTCTCCATTCCCTCTCCACTGCCTCCTCTCACCCGGTGCTGAGCCTATCTACCTCCGTCCCTAGTCACTTCATTAAGAAGGAAACAATATGGGCACTTTAATAGAGGAAACAAACATTTTCTAAATAATAATTGATGAATTGGCTTGAGTAGGAGGTAAGGCCCAGATTTTCCTCACTTTCTTTGCATAACGCCTGACAATTTACTGTCTTGGAAGCCACGTCCGCCCTCCCCCAACCCCTCCCACAAACCCTTAAAGATCCTACTCCTTTAGTACAAGCCTCTTAGACTTAGGAAAGGGCACTTTTGAATGCATGAAATTTAACTCTTTCCTGCCACAGTTCTCTTTCCTGGAAGAATGCTTTCATTAAGAACAGCTTCTCATGGTGCTTATCAGAATCATTCCCAGAACAGCTGGCACTGAAGGCCTTCTTAAGCAAGACTGCTAAATTACAAATAAAAGGAGGACGAGTTCTAGAGCACATATAAGTGAGAGATTGGAGTAATTACTTGTGTGTGTGTTTATTAAAATTGCACAAGAAGATAGTTTTTGAAACTTGGAGGGGCAATTTATCAGTGATACTAACGATATTGGTGATGTGAAAGTAAATTGCTTTGTAGGGAGTCTTCTACTGAGTGTGTTGCAGATAGAATAGGATCTTAAAATCAAACATTTTGGTACAGAATATTGTATCTAAAATCTCTTATTTCTTTGAACTTGGAGAGAAAAGCATTGCAATTTACTCAAAATGAGAGGCTTCTAAGTGGTTCCAAGGAAAGGAGTTAAAAACTGTGCAGAACTTTCAGCTTTAAGGAGTCTGCATCTTCCAGAGATTCACTGGGCACAACAGTAAGGAAATCTGGCTGACCGTGCAGTATATGCAGGAATGGTCTCAGCACAAATCACTCCACGGTGGTCCGTTCCGCTTCTGGCTCGTTGCATTGCCTCCCGCCAGTGACAGAAGCTGGAAAGGTTACCCCATCTCCCGCATCCGTGAGGAAGTCTAAGTCAGCCTCCCCAGGAACTCCCTGCATATGTTTCCTCTCGGACTTCCAACCCAGGCAGTGGGCTGGAACTAAAGTGGGAACCTCCGAAAACAAACAAGTACGACAGAGCAGGAAAAAAAAAAAAGGGGGGGGGGGGGGGTGGAGAGAATGGAGGGGGAAGACCTTTGCCTGGGAATCTGCCAGGCAGTGGGGGAGGTTGCTTTTGTGCACCTTCTCATTCATAAATGCCACTGTGGGTATTAATTTGCAATACACTTAACTTGGCTGCAAAAGACCATGCCAAAGCTTTGGGACTTGATTCGAGGATGCCTCTATGAAGTCCACGCATAGATTCCTGGCTCACAGACAGACTCTCCCTACCCGTTCGCATCTCTCAGTAGATGATTTGATTCTCACCTTCTCTGTAAACAAGCGAACAGCTCGCTGTCTTCCAGGGTGAGGGCTTTCAAGGCTGCCCGGTCAACTCGGCATCACCAAACAAAACGACTTTTGTTCCTTCCACCCAGGTCCTCCCACCCTCCCAGTCCAGGCAAAGTTCTGAACTCGCCCCCTTCGCCCCTTCCACCACCATCACCACCATCACGCCAAAGACAGCCCTTCCCAGTAGAAGTCGATATTTAAAGTGGAAAAAGAGGAAGATTGTTTTCTTGACGGTTACAGGACAAAAAAAAAAAAAAAAGGTGCAACAGAGCCAGGGGAGGCGCTTGGCAGCAGCCCGCGCCAACCAGCATTCCTGAGATGTTTGAGAATTCTGGAACGCGCAGACAGAGCCGACGTCACTGCAACACGCGGCGCCGCAGCCGGCCCGTATAAAAGGCGGGCTCCCGGCGCTAGGGCAGACCGCGAGCGAGAGCGCCCCCGAGCAGCACCCGCGCCCTCCGCCAGGACCTCGACAGAAGGACGCCCGCTCGTCGCCCCGGCCCTCGCCTCCTGCCGCCCAGTCCCCAGCGCCCACCGCCGCCTCAGGCCGTCTGCTGCGCACCGGCGTGTCGGCGCCTTTGCTTCCGCTCTGCCGGACTCCTGCGCGCCACAATGAGCTCCCGCACGGCCAGGACGCTCGCCTTCGCCGTCACCTTTCTCCACTTGGCCAGGCTGGTGAGTCCTTTTGCCACTGCTTCCCGGTCCGCAACCCCAGCCCCTTCCCTTTTCCCTAGGTTGCCCACGGCAGGAAACACAAAATTAAAAAGTTCGGGGGCGTTTCGGGGCAGCCCTTTCTTTAAACCTCCATGCAGACGCGTCGGGGGCCTCCTGGCGGACGCAGCCGTCCAGAACGCCCGGGCTGGAAGGGAAGAGAGATCCATCCCCCTGCCAACTGGGTCAGAGACCCCCCTCCAGCCCCTTCGCCGGCGCCCGTCCTGCGCACCTCACGGGTGTCATCTCTCCCGCCAGGCGCTCTCCACCTGCCCCGCCGCCTGCCGCTGCCCCCTGGAGGCGCCCAAGTGCGCCCCGGGAGTTGGGCTGGTACGGGACGGCTGTGGCTGCTGTAAGGTCTGCGCCAAGCAGCTCAATGAGGACTGCAGCAGAACGCAGCCCTGCGACCACACCAAGGGGCTGGAATGCAATTTCGGCGCCAGCTCCACCGCTCTGAAGGGGATCTGCAGAGGTAAGATGCTTGTGGCTTGGCCCCTTTAAAAAAGTAATAGTCCCCGTAGTCCAGAAGTTTAGTAATTTTGAGACCATGTATGGAGATGCTTTGTTGTCGGTAGCCTGGCAGAAAGGCGCATGATTTCAGCAGTCTGGAATGCAATTCAGTGTGTCTGGGCCCAGCGAAAAGCGCATACGGAAAAGTGATTCCTGACTAACTTATTGTTCTGGTCTGGAGTCCCCAGGGAATGGTAGGGAACTTTACCATAAAACTGAATTTAACAGCAGAAAATATGTATGAGTTTCAGGCTGTGATTCGGAATCTTAACCTTCTCATCTTCTCCCTTTCTCTTGTGGTGCTCTTTGCAGCTCAGTCAGAGGGCAGACCCTGCGAATATAACTCCAGAATCTACCAGAACGGGGAAAGTTTCCAGCCCAACTGTAAACATCAGTGCACATGTATTGACGGGGCTGTAGGCTGCATTCCCCTGTGTCCCCAAGAACTCTCTCTTCCCAACTTGGGCTGTCCCAACCCCCGGCTGGTCAAAGTTACCGGGCAGTGCTGTGAAGAATGGGTCTGTGATGAGGATAGTGCCAAGGACTCCATGGATGACAGGGATGGCCTCCTGGACAAGGGGCTGGCATTCGATGCCTCAGAGGTGGAGTTAACCAGAAACAATGAATTAATTGCAGTTGGAAAAGGTGGCTCCCTGAAGCGGCTCCCTGGTAAGTGGAGACTGAGTCCCTAAGATATACTGAAATACTTTACTAGCCTGAAGCATTATAGAAATGATACTTGAATCTCTTTGTGTCAGTGTGCCTTTGAGAAATTTTCCCTCTTTGTCTGTCTAGTTTTTGGACTGGAACCTCGCATCCTATACAACCCTTCTTTACATGGCCAGAAATGTATTGTTCAAACAACTTCATGGTCTCAGTGCTCCAAGACCTGTGGAACTGGAATCTCCACACGCGTAACCAATGACAACCCTGAATGCCGCCTGGTGAAAGAAACCCGCATTTGTGAAGTGCGGCCTTGTGGACAACTGATGTACAGCAGCCTGAAAGTAAGTTCCTGCGGTGGCATGTAGACCGTTCCCAGGTAGCTGGGTCAGATGTGACCCTCTCTTCCAAGAAAAAGAGACATTGTCCCTAATTTTCCTTTCCTCCTCTTCCTTCCAGAAGGGTAAGAAATGCAGCAAGACCAAGAAATCCTCTGAACCAGTCAAGTTTACTTATGCGGGATGTTCAAGTGTGAAGAAGTACCGTCCCAAGTACTGCGGCTCCTGCGTGGATGGCCGATGCTGCGCGCCCCTGCAGACCAGGACTGTGAAGATGCGATTCCACTGTGAAGATGGAGAGACGTTTTCCAAGAACGTCATGATGATCCAGTCCTGCAAATGCAGCTACAACTGCCCTCATGCCAACGAGGCAGCGTTTCCCTTCTACAGGCTGTTCAATGATATTCACAAATTTAGGGACTAAATGCCACCTGGGTTGGCAGCACAAGGTGGACAAATGGGGGAACAGAGTGCCAGAGTCAGAGAGACGTGGGTGGGGTGGTGGGGATGAAGGGGACTCATTGTAGAAGGGATGAATTGCTCGTTCTTGAGTGGTATTAAGGTATTTCAAAACTGCCAGGTGTGCTGGTGAGATAGACACTAAAGCAGCCGCAATTGGAGAATACTTTGCTTCATAATACTGGAGCACGTGTTACTGCTTCATTTTGGAGCTTGTGATGTTGATGACGTTCTGTTTTCTGTTTGTAAATTGTTTGGTAAACATATTTTTCTCTAGATTTTTTCCCTGTTGGTTCCACAATTGTAAAAGATAATAATATTAGTTGGACAGTTAAGGCCTTCATCCTTTAACAGAAGCAAACAGAAGGGGGTTCCATCCTTTCCTGAAGGTGACACTCTGTGAGTGTCCATGAGAGGCAGCTCATTGCACTCTAAATTGCAAACAGAATTCAGGTGTTTTAAGACTGAATGTTTTTATTTATCAAAATGTAGCTTTTGGGGAGGGAGGGGAAATGTAATACTGGAATAATTTGTAAATGATTTTAATTTTATATTCATGAAAAGAATTTATTTATGGAATTAATCATTTAATAAAGAAATATTTACCTAATATCTGAGTGTGTGGCATTCAGTATTTTTAGAGACTGTCCACAGTCACTGATAGTAGTCCAGTGCATGCATTCAGTCATTCCAGCAGCCATTCTTGCATGCCTGCTGTGTGCCAGGAGCTGTTCTCTCGGTGCTTGGGCTACGGCAGGGAGCTAACCTACAGAAATAAGGCAATGATTGCTTTAATTTCTTCAGTAGAGAAAAGTCTTTGCATTTAATCTGTTGTAAAAACATGTACTGAACACCAGGCATTATCGAAAGAAAGCACAAGGAATCTGAAGTTAAGTTTGTGATTTAAATAATAGTGCTTTATTTTCATAACAATTCAAAGCCTAAGGGTCTCCATCACCCAGTCACAGTGAGGTGAGTATAGTAGAGTCCTTTGCCATTTTATTCACTAGGTGGTTATGCGTGTCACTTCAGTAGAGGAGAGATACTTGAATGAAAACTGATCACAGCCCAGGCTGCCCATATCTAAATCTATGGGCAAGATTAAATATGGTTGGAAATGGGTTATAAAAAGTCACTTGTTTATAACTTTATATTTTTCCAATATGGTTCCTAAAGTTTAGGGAAACTACTTAAAAATTCACCCCTGATTAGGATCAGAGATAAAAATTTTGGAGTCTTTAGGAGTCAGTTTATTTTCACTGAATGAGTTTGAAGCAACGACTTGTGTTAATCCTAATAAGCCGGTGATTAGGTAAACATGCTGTTAAATCCAAAGGAATGCAAGGAATTTCAAGTACTTTTTCAATAGCATGAGGACCAAGCTACCCCATCCCCCTTTTCTTTTTATAACATACATTATATTGATGGAGGAGGGAGCAGTTCGGTAGAGTTGGCTATCCAGAAAGTTAAAGGCTAGATGCAGAGCATTCCTAAAGGAAAGGACCTGAATCACAGACCTACAAGAGGTTGAGAAGGCTGCTTCGGTGTTTGTGAAAATGTTGGTAGCCTGTTTTAGAAGAATCTACATCTTTAGAAAGCGCTGACAATAAACCTTTTATAGAGAGAAGGTTTCCTTTCATCGGCCCTCTTGGCTCTTGTGCAAATCCATAGTGAAATATTTCAGGCTGCACTTGGTTAAGAGAGTACTTGAATTTTTGGGCAATAAGAGAAAGTGTTTTGAAAGGGGAGGAGAGAGACAGCTCCCAGGGTCCTGCAAGGGTGATTTTCAAAACAGTTTAAACTGATGCTTTAATGAAGACCTACAGAATAGCACTGTGTAAGCATCTGTTTTAAAGTCTTAGTGAAATGCATCAAGGTTCATATAACTGTAATAGTAAAGTCTATGGGCAAAGGCCTTCACTATTCTGATTTTGACAATGTCTTGCCTGAAATAGTACAACCTGTGTCTACTGAGTAGTCAGGTTTTCTTTCCTGAGGCGTTCAAATTGTAAGGTATTTGGGGATTTAAACACCTGGCTCAGTCTTGGATGCAGTTAAACTTGTCAGTGCAATATAACATGTGAAACATAATAAAGGTGTAACTGTGGTGTAATCTTGTTGAATAGACATCTGTATTCACAGGAAAGATTTACACATTTCCAGCCACCTATCCTGAGGTATTTTCTCCCAACACTAGAGCCTAGCAAATTGCTTCTCATATAAAGATCAAGGAACAATATTTTACAGCTCCTTTAAGTGTTTAGGGAGGTAATATTTGTCCAAATAAGCTCAAATGTGAAACAAAACCTAGCATAGGAAAACACTGGATCTTTGAGTCATTAATAAGAGTGATGTGCAAGTGCCAATTCTATTCAAATAAAAGTACTCAATTAATAAAAATCAACAGATACAAATTATATCCATTTCATTTGGCTACAGAAAAAATGAAATTCAAAGTAGTTGTGAATGGAATTATGTGATTTATAACATACAACTTTTATCTAGATCTGGCGTGGAGTTCTGCCTGCCTCAAATTTTGAAAAAAAAATTAAAAACCATTCATCTGCACACATGAAATAGAAAATACATACATAAACCCTCTTCCTACTGTATATGTAGCCCTCCACATGGAGTAAGATCTTGTGTTGTTCTCACTTTCCAGTCCAGAAGACCCTGATAGTCTCGAGCTGGGTGCTTGTTTTTTGTTTTGTTTTTTGTTTTAACAGAGATGTAAGAATGGAGAGTTATGGGGGGACCTCAAAATATTAGGAGTTCAGTGAATTTTAAGAAGCAGTCTATGGGACACTGAGCAGCAGTCAGAGGCTCTTCCTGAAGATTTTCACATAAACACATGTGCTGTCCTCTCCACAAAGAGATGAGACAGAGTCAAGATTAGCAAAGTAGATTTTAGAGTTATTTCTCCAGTAGAGGTCAGTTCACAGTCTCTTCTTCTGCCCCTGGCACTATCTGAAAGTCAGTTGAGCAACAGCAGGGTCTCGAAGGACCATAGTACAGAACATAGTACAGAAGGTGAGCTCTGGGCAGAGTGACCAGAGATGTAGGGGAAAGAATCCCTCACTGGAATCAGGACACTCATCTTCTAGCACCAGCTCTACTAGTAATTTACTGGGTGACTCTGGGCTAGTTTCTGGATCATTCTTTCCTGTTTTAAAATAGAACAATAGCTTCAGCAATTTTTGTCACCAAAAACATTCTTTTTCATATACTTTTTTTGGTGCATTGGTTCCCATACCTTAAAAACTGTCTCCTCAAGCAACTGAATGTATGAAATGAAACCCGCTCAGGTCTGTTTGTGGGCAAATGCACTCATCTCTAGGAAGGCTTTGAAAACAAAATGTTGCTATGTCAGGCCTTCTTTACACTCTAAAGCACCCCTCATGTTGGGATATGGCAATCCCTGGCTCTCACAACTCATAGGTCCCTACTTTTGCCTCCTTCTATAGCCCCAATATCTGGGCCTCATTAAATCCCTGCCCTGAATAACTCAGTCTTTGAAACAAAGCACATTGTGAAGCAGGACAATGAGGCATGTGTCCTGTGAAGAGAACAGACGTACTTGTGACTTTATTGGTGGTGGGCAACGCTTATCCACATAATCTTATAAAGTGCAACTTAATTAAGCAAGGGCTCAGATGCATTTGTTAGTGCTTTACGTTCTCATAGAGTCTGCTCACACATCCTGAATCCACCTTTCTCATGTCCAGTACACACATCCAAATTTAAGCCACCGTCATACCTTGCCTGAATTACCTAAGTGGCTCCTCACTTGGGGCATATTGTATTCTGCAAAGGAGGTAGGAATAATATCCCTCACCCCACCTGCCCTCCTACAGTGTGACCCTACTGCTCCCTGAGCAATAGATGGGGTCTGTTTTTCCATCCTCTAGAACCTGAGTGGGCGCTCTTTGACTACTTCAATCAATGGCTATGCAGAGAGTGATGCAATACACAGCCCCAAGTATAACACTGGCTGGACCTTCTACTTCCTTTTTCTTGCAAATGAACTTCATGCCGGAAGTACAGTGACCCTGAGACTGGCAGGCTGTTAGAAGACTGAGCCACACGGATAGGCCCCAGAGGAAGAGAAACACCAAGGGCATCACACACGCATGAAGCACCCATCCTGGAAGTGGGTCCTCCAACCTCAGCTGCCTCGCAAGCTGACGCCTTATGAGTCGGGGCTGAACTGCCACAGAGGCCTTTCCACAAAGGCTGACCAGTAACACAATGAGCAAATGAGTACGGTTATTTTAGACCCCAAGTTTTGGGTTTGGTTCATTACACAGTAATGGATAAGTGAAATGTTATGGGTTTCCATTCTTGCCCTGCAATGATCAATTTTCCTCATGTGAACCAGAGTGATTTTTAAAAAATGTAAATCAGAACATGTCACTCCTTGGCTTAAAGTTTCCATGGCTTCCCATTACTCTTGGAATAACATTCAATTCCGTACTTGGCGCACAGGTTCTGGGCCTGGCCTGCTTCTTACCCTCACCCTCACTCACTACAATCCCACTTTTCTTTTCCTCTTTGAAATAAGCCAAGAACGTTCCTCCTCATAGCCTTTGCATGAGCTGCTCCTCTGCCTCAGATGCCCCTGTCCTTGATCTAAGTTATTTCTTGGCACTCAAGTCTCAGCATAAATGCTACCTTCTCAGTGACCGTCCCTTGCCACCCAGTCTAAAGTAGTTTATTACACCAAGCAGTTTTATTTTTCATAGCACTCACCACTACCTGATATTTTCTTGTTTATTTTATGTCTCCCTCTTCTAGAACAACTTGTAGGAGAGAAGTTTTGTCTGTCTTTTCCATTGCCATAAAAGCATCACTTCACACCATGCTAGGCGTAAAGAAGGTGCTCATTAACACAGAATAATGTTATCTTAAACTGAAGCTAAACTAAAGGGCACCTGTCACTGACACAATGTCTTCCTTCTGCTTCACCTTGGGCTTTCCCCTCACCTGTTAGTCATCCATTCATCCTTTTACTCATACATCAGGCCAGCAGACACTTGTCTGCACCACCATATTGCAGGCACAGTGTCATGCAGTAGTTGAAGCATGGTTCCTTCACTGTGCGGCAGGGAAACACACACGTAAGCCAAGGAGAGTTAAAGTTGGCTCAGCTGCAAATAACAGAAAACCAAAATAATGATGGCTTAAATAACACAGAGGTTTATTTCTCTCTCATGTGAAAACCCAGGTACACAGTGCAGGGCTGATGTGATTCCCCAGGCTTCTGGGACCAAAGCTACTGCCATCTTCTTGTTCACAACATCTGGCCTTCATTCCCTAGTTCATCTCATGGCACATGGCCTCACCTAGCTGCAAGGAAGGCTAGGAAATATCATTTTTATCCTGGTTTGCCATGTGTCCAGCTAAAAATCAGAGATTCTGCTACAGTAGAAGGAGTAACTAGTTGTCAGGGCCATGTAACCCAAAATATGATATACTAAGTATAATAGGGCACAGAGGAGGGTTGAGAAGAGAGCTGTGAACTATTTGGGGCTGGGATCAAACGGGCCTTCCTGGAGTTGGTACCTCAGTTGT